CATATTTTCTTGTTAAAACGCCATATTTTCTCATTAAAACACCATATTTTCTCGTTAAACTGCCATCTTTTCTCGTTAAAATGCCATCTTTTCTCGTTAAAAGCCATCTTTTCTCATTAAAACGCCATATTTTCTCGTTAAAACGCCATATTTTCTCGTAATAATGAGATGTTTTCTCGTTAAAACGCCATATTTTCTCGTTAAAATGCGGACAGTCACCTAGCTCGCTCACATAATGTACTATATAGCCTATCTATGATAACGGAAAACATGTCGTTTTTATGACATAATATGTCATTTTAACGAAAAAAGATGTAGTTTTAACGAGAAAATATGTCGTTTAACAAGAAAAGATGTCGTTTTAACAAGAAAAGATGTCGTTTTAACGAGAAAACATCTCGTTATTACGAGAACAGATGTCGTTAAAATGACATAACATCTCGTTATTATTATTACTAGGAAAAACATCAAATGACATTAGTTCACATTTATTTAGCTTCCTAAAGGAAGCTGGTGTAGCAAATATGATATAGGTTACAGCATTGGAATTTATTATTATTATAAAAGGGGAAGAAGGAGAAGGAAAGTCTCCCTTCAGTATGGATATAATAGATCTCTGTCTAGCTCCGCTCCACACTCCAGTACAGTAGGTGGCGGTAATGCACCATTGAAGTTGGATGCCAACCGCCGTTAAACATCAAAGAAGAAGAAGAGGCCGCCGCATCTGCGCGCTAAACTGCCGCTGCTGTGAGCGAGCGAGTGCGTGCGGAGGAAGATGGCGGCGCTGATCCTCCCGTCTGACTGGATAAAAAACTGGGACAAATCCGGCAAAAATGAGTTGTGAGTAAGAGTTGAGCAGTCCGATGGGAACTGGGGATGGAAATAAAGTGACATGCGTTTTATTTGGGCGGTATCTTCGCGGGTGATTGTCGAAATCATCTTCTCATCGTGAATGTCCACAGCGAGTGCGCGTTCAAGACTCATGACTTAAAGTTCAACCAGATAACCAATAAACCTAGGTCTGAGCATACCACTAACCAAATAAAGGATATGCAGCCTTTCGCTTCTGTGCGTGGATATGTAAGGCAGTTTATCGGGCACTTGGGTAATTTCCATTAATGTAGCGTCAGTGTGCTAGCAGTTAGCTGGGTTAGCATTAGCATGTGCATTCTTATCAGTGTGTGTTACATGCTAGTAATCATGATCTCATACACCCTGAGCAGACCTGAAGTCCATGTTATGGGATGTTAGGAGAGTGTGTGTGTAGTGTAAGCTGATGATAGCTGTGCTAATGAGTTCAAGCTCACTTTTATAAGCGCCCCGGTTGAGATTGTTGTGAGATTTTGGTTGTGTCTCGAAACATAGTGATCTGATCTATCTAGGCGGCATTTATGAGCAGCACAGCAGCACTTGCTGCTGTCTAACTGTTGACACCTAGCTAGCTGCCTACTTGGGTTGCATTGTAGTGATCATAGTGTCGAGACGCTTTGTGAGAATGGTGCACTTGTGATGTAGTGAGATGCCAATGCATCCTAAACTAATGCTTTTCTTGTCTAGACAGCAATGTTGGGCGTCTTGATTAAAAACTATGTTCAGCATTCTTAAAATCCAGTGAGGGGTTTGCTTACTTGTCAATAACTGTAGATGGAGTGTGTTAAAGTCACTCAGCGGGGATTGTGGTGCTGGATAAAAGACTGCAGCTGTGATGGAAGCAAGCTTTAAATGTCTAGTAAGCCGTAAATGGGGTCAATATACCATAACATAACATAAAGTTGATCTCTTATGCCCTAAAATTATTATACCTCTTTCTCTTTTATATTCAGTGCAGATGACTCGTATGTGTTTATTAATAACTGAAATTCTCTTTCTAGCTGTTCACTTATTTGTCTCAGAAAGCAATTTTAAATAGTAAAAATATTTCAAAATTTTACTGTTTTTGCTGTACTTTGGATCAAATAAATGCATAATAAAAAATGTTTTGTTTACTCGCCAGACTTATATATATGTGTATATATATATGTATATATATGTGTGTTTGTAAAATGGCACAGTTTTATAAATATCTTAAAGTACACTCTTAACATCAGTCAGTCAAGCATTATAATATGATAATCAATATTATTTAATGATAGAACTTTAGTAATTACAATTAAAACTTGATAACCATGTATGAATGCATATTAGTCATTTTAACTGAACTTCGGACTGGTGCTGGTGCTTTTTTTGGTCATTCAGTGTTTCTGTAAAAACAAATTTAAATTGGGGAAAAACTAGCAAAAATACTGATTAGATAATGATACGAATTCTACTAATAAGAACAATATAAAACGCACCAAGGATTAATGAGCTACTGGATTCATGAATATTAATCAGGTTGTGTGCGTTCACTCGAACTGATTTGCTGAAATCAAAACAGGGACGATAATAGGTGAGCGCCAGCCAATGAGATTGCCATTTGTGCATTAGCTCCGCCCACTACCGGAGAAAGTGGCAGTTCTTAAAAGCGCAAGAATTCCAAAGGAACTCTGTTAATATGACAGCAAAATACAACAAAGAATATCGTTTACATGTAGCGCGCATAGGTAGCGCGTCAATTTTCTCTCTCCCTCTCTCTCTCGCTGCGTGTGTGTGAAACAAAGCGACGGCGAGGCGTGCGCTTCACACTAGAGTTTGCAGTAAGTTGTGCGTTGCACATCCATTCAGATGAACTGAAAAACAGCACAGATCGCTTGGCGGAGAGTGAAACCCTGATGGACACAAGTTTACTTCAAGAATGAACAATTTGGCATAGATGAGTTTGAAGTTCAGTGTTTATAAAACGGAGCAAACGGAAAGAGAACGCGTGACCTATATTATAGCTCTATAAATGAAGCACACAGACTTTATTAGAGCCACAGAAAGACAAATGTTTTGCTGAAAATGCACAATACACAATTCATTATGTACATTAACAACGATTCGGGACTAATATAATGTAATTTAATGGAAAACTATGAGAATCGCGCTCTGTGGCACGGCAGGATTTTCTGTCGGCTGCATTTAAATCCGCGTCTGAAGTTTCCCGCTCTGTTCAGCGTGCAGCATCACGTGTCTAAACAAATAGCACGTGCTGTCAGTGATTTCAACCACTAGAGGCTGCTCTCGCACTGTATAATGACAGCAGACCCTTCTCAGCCGCTCCAGCAATGGACGCAACCCGGAAAACTATCGGCATGGATTTTTGCCGATAACCGATAGTTCCAGCAATCAACTATCGGTGCCGATTAATCGGCAAAACCGATACATCGGTCGACCTCTAATAATAACCCCCTAACATGTCATCTCAATCTCTAGATCGTTCTTGCTTTACTAAGCATTGGTTGACTCAGATGTGACAATATTTTGTGCAGCTTGCTGCTGAAGAGTTCTTATATCTGCAAGCGGTTTCGTCATTTCCTGTCAGTGTCACGCTTCTCTTGTGTGGATCATCTTAAAGAGGCAATGCCTGACTCGTGCCCGGAATGTGCCATAATGCCACCCGCTGTGCGTCGATCGCATCTGTCAGGTAGGGCTGTGCAAAAAAATCGAATGCGATTATCATGCGTATCTCATCAGTAAAGCCGCTCCTGTGATTAGTAGTAAATCTCCAGCACGTGCGTTCATATGGAGTGGCATTTACTACACAGAGCCGTAGTTCACTGACAAGCTACACAAAATCGCGTTTAAAATGGCAGGCGATTCATTGGCTATTTTGAACGCAATTTTGTGTAGCTTGGCAGTGAGACTATGTTTGAGAAGTCAGGTGGGTCATCTTCAGTTGTTGCATCACTGGAAGGAACATCAAAAGCGGTGCTTGCCCGAATCAATCTTGTTCCCCCTCAGGCAACAGTGAGTTCTGAAAATGTTTTTTTTTACTTCGTGCACAGAGCACATCCTTTACCATGCCTCAGTGCCAAGACTCCACTATCTGTATTGGTGTCAGCATTAAAAAACTCATCAAAGGCAGTCTCCCGATGAGGCACTTCGTGTAAATGTGCGCTGTCCCAACGTCGAGTGCAGACGCACTGATGAGCTACTGCCCCGCACGTACAATTCTACAGCAAGCCTTGGCCGTTTTTTCAATTCCTTGGCGCACATGCTTGTAGCTTTACATTCCTCTCTGAGTGAAGCCTCATCTGATCCATTAGAGACGGAACTAACTGAACTCTCTTTACAAGCCATGGCTGTTATTGCCAGTCACTGTGGCACCGCTTTAGCCACTCTCGTGCAAGCTCTAAGGCAGGATTGGTTGGCTTTTTCGCGACAAATGACTAATTCCTGGTCAAATCTTTGAATCAGCTGCATAGGAAACCTTGGACCTCGGCGTGTGTCGGTCTCTGAAACGCGTTCCTATTGTGTGGGGACAGCTTTAGGATCAAGACCACCTCCACCAGCCTCTGGTGTCCGTTATCTCAATGTTGGTGCAAGATCTGCATATAGACCTCCTCAGCATTTCCAGCATCGGACCCCACAAGCTCCTCCACCTAGGCGTGTTGGGTCTCAACTGCGTCTTACGCTCAGTCTTACGCTCGACACCCAGGTCCTCAGCGACGCCCCCCACACCTCTACTGAAAAGTGTCCCCAGATGTCGACAGTGGGCTGTTTAACGAAAAGTCACCTGGAGCGCTGAGATTGATAACGTCAAATCAGTGGCTGTTGACTACCCTTTCAAGAAGGTACCGTATACAGTTTCGCTGTCGACACCCTGTTCATACTGGTGTGAGACAATTCATTATCCATGCCAGGCAGAGGCACTTGCGCATGAAATTCAGGTGTTGCTGCACAAGGGTGCCATAGAGTTAGTAGACCCTCAAGTTAACCCCGGGGGATACTTTTCCATTTATTTTCTGGTAACCAAAAAGGATGGCGGGTTTCTGTGTGTGTGTGGCCTCTGAGGGCCAGAGTACTGTTTTGAATGCTCGTGCTGTGTCCACACGAAAGTTGTACGCTTGTAAGGGGGAAGTGATTTGTAACTGGTGTTCTGGCCGCAGTCTTGATCCATTACACTGTTCAGTGGGACGCATTTTAGATTTTTTGCAGCATCTTTTGGAACTTGGTCGTCCAACTTCCACATTAAAGGTGTATTTGGAGGCGTTAGCAGCTCAACAATCTGAGTTTAGTAGTACTTCGCTTGGGTCTGACAGGTTAATTGCTGCCTTTGTTTCCTTTACGTGGTGTGCGGAGTCCGACGTGGGATTTGAATATTGTTCTCGATTCCTTGTGTCAGACCCCATTTGAGCCAATATCAGAGTCTGATATTAAGCGTGTGAGTGCACTCCATGCTTTATCCGTGAGTGCTCCCTGTTTGCGCTGGAGAAATGGATTCAGTAGTGTCTCATTGTGGCCCAATCAGGCAGGTTTTATCTCCACATTTTATGAATCAGCCTATTGTGTTGGCTGTACTGCCTGCAGATCAAACTGACATACGATTGCAGCCATGTCCAGTTAGATCTTTATGGGCTTACATTAAGACCGCAGCTTGGCGTAAGACGATGTGTGTGTGGGGGTGCTGCGCTTTCCAGACAGAGACTGGCACACTGGGTGACACAGTGTTATATTGCAGCCATTTGCTAAAATCATTTAAGTTAATTTTTTTTCTCATTAATGTACACACAGCACCCCACACTGACAGAAAAACACAGAAAACTGAAATATCACATGGTCCTAAGTATTCGGACCCTTTGCTGTGACACTCATATATTTAACTCAGGTGCTGTCCATTTCTTCTGATCATCCTTGAGATGGTTCTACACCTTCATTTGAGTCCAGCTGTGTTTGATTATACTGATTGGACTTGATTAGGAAAGCCACACACCTGTCTATATAAGATTGTTCTGCATGTTCATTTGAAATACCCGAAAATACACAATTTTTTTATTATTATTTACTCCGTTTAGATGTTTACATTTGGAAAAGCTGTGCTTCCTGCATAAACCTGCCCCTGTTGGTTTGGCAGTAGCTTGCTTGCCCCACATGGTTACCTTTGTTTAATTTCTTAATTGAAGTTATATTTTGTTCTATTTGTGTTAAAGTTATTTATAATAAGTGAAGTTTACTGTTAAGTGCACTGATGGTCAGACTCATTTTGAATAATAAAGTTTATTGTTAAATTGTTAAATACCCTGCCTCCACTACATAGGCCTATGTTTGTCACATCATTATAATTGTTTAATCAAACATTTTTTGCAATTATAACTCAAATGTGGTATGTAGGCTATATACTGTATTCCATATACAGTACCAGTCAAAAGTTTGGACACGAAAGGGAAGTGTCCAAACTTTTGACTATACTGTACTACAATATAGCCTACACATAAAAAATATCGGCCGATATATCGGCATCTGTCTTTTTTTACTACCAAATATCAGTATCGGCATCGGGCCCCAAAAAATCCATATCGGTTGGGCTCTAGTCTGGAGCGAAAGGAAATAGAATGCTAGTTACAAACATAACGAAGTGGAAGAGACCGGTTGGGGGTTATTTATAGCTCAAGATACGTCATGAGAGCCACAAGGTGACAACTTTGTTATTCTGTTCTCAGTCAAGTGCTAGCATGAGGGATTTTCCACTGCTTTCAGCACTGCCTCTTGCAGTCTATCACTTAGTCATAGAACCACAGTTACGTTAGTAATGAGTTGTCTCCCCTCCTTTTACAGAATTAGGATCTTAATCCATCTTGTTAGATGTCCTGGGGACTAAGGTTCACTTAAAGTGGGAACTAAACATCTTTGTCTACTTAAGAACGGTGCACAGTCACAAATAATTTAGTACACAGAATCTGTGCCAATATCACAGACTGTAACTATGTCAGCATGACTTGGCCATTGAGTGTAGTTTGGGCTCCTCCTCAATGCATCCAATAAATGCTGTCATATGACCTGCACACTTGTTTTTCTTCATTAGTAACATGCAGTTATATAGGAGATGTTGAATTTTAGCTCCTTGCATTTTCTTATCTTGTAGACATCAGGTTAAGTACAAATATGAATATGCAATATAGCGCATATATTTAGCAAGATGCTCCTCTTTATAGTTATTTTTTTTCTAGCTGACTAATGAGCTTATGGATGCCAAATGATTATTCTGAGGTAAATGATTGTTACGTGACATTGTTTTTACACATTGCTTTACACATTTTCCGCAGTTTGAAACACTGAATGAGCAATTACATGAGACATTTCAGTAAAAGCCTTTCCACATTGAACGCAAAAATTTGGCGCGATGATGCTTTTGAATCAAAACAATAGATCCCTATGGGTCTATTCACACCATGCACGATTATTCTCTGTGTGTGACAAAGAGTTTTTTTCCGCCCTGTGTCGATTTGTTTCCCCCCATCGCTCCATGATGAAATGGGCCATCCAATCCGATTCGAGCTTAAATCATGTTCCCGGAGCAGCTGCTGTTGCACAAAAGGGCGAGAGTGGTGGCGCTGTTACAAAACAAGTGTAAACAAACACTGAAGAAGAGAGGGGATGCTGAGTTCTTGTTATCATTGGTCTCTGAGAACAGATTTTTTCTCGCGTGTTCTTTATACAGAATAAACTTTGTTCATTTCCCACTGAATTATGTGCTTTTTTGCATCGTGCTCCGTAGGGCTGGGTAAAAAATACAGATATTTCGATATTAATCTATTCTCATTTTTACGGAACGATAGCGATTCTTAAATCCCAAGAATCGAGTAGTGTAGCCTGTTTTCGGTTAATGGACGGAACGTTGAAGGACACTTCCCATCCAATAAATCACAATAAGCATTGTGCTTTAGTACTTTTAATATGAAACACAGTCTCAGATTTCAAATTCTGTCCATTGTATTGCAATATTCAAACAATAAATGCCGTTTTAGCGCTGTTTAATGTGTAGTGACAGATTGCTGTAGCAAGGTGCACATGAACTGATCATCTCCTCCACATTAATACCAGTTTCAGCACAAAATAAACATGACTAAACATCTGAAGGTAAGTTAAAAGAAAGAGTACAACTTTACAATCTGTATCCTGTCTCATGTAATCAGTGTTTCAGTCGCGCAAAAGACGTCGATAACGGCTTGTACAATGTCACGTAATGTCACATTTACCTCAGAAAAACATATTCGGTGACCATGAACTCATTAGTTAGAAAATAAACTGTAGAGAGGGGCATTTTGCTAAATATATGCACCATATAACATTATAATTTTTACTGTTCAATGTTTAATTTGTTTGAATAAATCCATCAAGTTATTACAGCCACCATTGTTTATATTAAAAAAACAATTGAAGTAGAAATATTATGTAATTGTAACTTTATTTTAAAAACGTCATTAAGTGTAATTTTAACAAATCAGTACATTTTAACCTTCAATATACGCAGCATACGATCTTGTTAACAAGCCATGTTAGTATTGATTATAAACGAGAATTGTTACGATATTGCTAATATCCACACAGATGACATCTTTACCGGTTGTAGTTTGTTCAAGCTGTGCACTTTTTCTTCACACGTCTCCATCATTTTCGATCTCTCTCATGCTGCCACAACTGATGTGCAGTCAACGCTGGTGTTCAGCAGAGATGAGGACGGACTGTTTGTCTTTTTTCAACTAAAACTTTGATGCACATCGTTTCAGTTTATTACGTCACCATAACAAAAGTTGTGAGCGCAAGGAAAACCACATGTACAAGTCACAACATGCAAATTTATGTAGTCACCAGTGACAATCTCAGCAAAAATATCATTTGGAAATTAATATTTTTGGTCTCAAATACAGTAGTCACGCAGTCTGGAGCCCTGCTATGACAACTATAAACTTCATAAACAGTCACTGGGAAATGTTAATGAAAGTCTCATTGATTTCTCATTATCGATTCTAACTGATGCTACTCATATGACGAGTCATTGTTGCAATTTTAACACAACCTATTGCAACCATCTAGATAACCTTGGTGACAGTTTTAAAGTGTCCCTATTATGGATTTTTGAAAATTACCTTTCATGCAGTGTGTAACATAGCTCTAAGTGAATGAAAACATCCTGCAAAGTTTTAAATCTGAAAGTGCACTGTGTATAAAGTTATTGTCTCTCAAAACAAAGAGTCTGCTCTGAATCATTGAAACAAGTCGTTTTTAAAAAGAATCCCAAGCCGTTTCATGTTGACGTCAACATGAAACATTAGCATATTGCCCGCCCACTTGTTGGTCTTTTTGCGTTGGTCTGAATGAAAATGCAAATTCATTCTTTGCCACTAGGTGCCACTTTTGGAGCAGTAAAAATAGCGGTTTCCCCGGTAACGCTGTATACAAAGCAGCACTGCGCTCACAAACGCTGCTTTATCAGGCATTACAGACATAATGAAATGAGACCAATCACCGCAGATTAGGTCACGCAAAGGAGGGGTTTGGAAAAATGAATCGTTGAGCGAATCGTTTGGGAGTCGTTGAGCAAATAAGGTAAAAATAAATGCATATTATGAGACAATGAAAGTGTTTTTTGACCTTGCATGCATGTCAACATGTTGTTAAGGACTCCCAAAACCAAAATATGAACCTTTCATTACCCATAATAGGGGCACTTTAATCAACTGAATTCACAACAACAAAGTTTACAACATACACAAGCATATGAATAACAAACAAAAGAATGCAAGCACTGGCCCCAAAGAGAAAGGGACCGTTCTGTCACCTGACCAAAACACACTCACACTGCTCATGGGTCATCCTGTTTGGTTAGCCCTAGTGTTTTTCTTGACAGGGTTGTGGCGATAAGCTCCATTTAATATTGTGCAGGTGTTATCAGCATGACTGTAGAAACTGAAAGCTGTTTTTGAGTCTGCTCTGTGTGTGTGTGTTTTGTCTTGTAGATCTGCAGACAGCCCTGTATGAGCTCTGCTGGCATGTTATCCAGGGCAATCTGAAGGTGGATGTGGCTGCCAGTCTCCTGGCTGATGTAATGGTGAGTGCTGATCTTGTCTCATAACATTCAACAATGAACACTGTCATCATTTACTTACCATCATGTCATATTAATCCTGTGTGATTAACAAAATTGTGAACATACTCTGGCCACTTTTCAGTGCAATGAAGTGAATGTGGATAAGGATTCTCAAGCTCCAAAAGGACAAAGTATTATTGAGCTAGTCAAGGGTTTCGCAAACCCCTAGCTGTTTTTCGTGGGAACATTAGTCAATGAAAAGATAGTTAAATCGAAGTAACATTAAAATAAACAAGTGGAACTGCACAATTAATCTAAATAACGATATGTCCTCAAGTTGCAATTATCAAATCAAAGGCTGTGATTTAAATAAAGAAGTAAATGGTCTGTTGCACTGCGTGTCTCGGAGTGAAGAGCAGCACTGTCTTAATTTACACGCAGCTTTTAATATCGTGTTTTCAGAGCAGATGGTTTGCAGTTACGCTGCTTCTCAAAAACGACATCTTGTAAAATCATTTTAACACACATTTGGGAATGCTATGTATGCTAGGTTCATTTTATACACGCAAACATCTACATTTGCACAATTGCCAGCATTTGACCAATATCCCACCAAAATAAAACTTAAGGATTTGCCATGTTAACAGCTTGATGGTTTGAATGTTTGATAGACATAATGAATGAACCCACGTATCAACACCCTTAAAAGTAACTCTTTTCACTCGCGGCTGAGTATTTGATCTTTGTGTCTCAGCAGTAGCAATTAGAGCTCGACCGATATATCGTTTTGCCAAAATTATCAGCCTATATGAGCCTGTCACAGATATATCGTATTGGCGAATATGCCGCCGATATGAATTTGTTTATTTATTTATTTTTTAAATATAACGCAGATGAAATGCTTCTAAGTGGTGTACTTACTTAGTTTGTCCAGCAGAGCGTGCTCCATTGTTTGCTACTGGCGACTCAGGTCAGTGTAGAGATGCGCGGATGAGCTCAAACTTCACCCGAGTCTGCTACTTCAAATAAATGATCCACCCGCCACCCACCCGCACCTATATTTGAAGTTTACTGTTAAGTGCACTGATGTCAGACTCATTTTGAATAATAGTTTGTTAAATTGTTAAATACCCTGCTTCCATTACATAGGCCTATTTGTCATATAGTGACACAAGTGTTTGAATTATCAGCCTATATGAGCCTGTCACAGATATATCGTATTGGCGAATATGCCGCCGATATGAATTTGTTTATTTATTTATTTTTTAAATATAACGCAGATGAAATGCTTCTAAGTGGTGTACTTACTTAGTTTGTCCAGCAGAGCGTGCTCCATTGTTTGCTACTGGCGACTCAGGTCAGTGTAGAGATGCGCGGATGAGCTCAAACTTCACCCGAGTCTGCTACTTCAAATAAATGATCCACCCGCCACCCACCCGCACCTATATTTGAAGTTTACTGTTAAGTGCACTGATGTCAGACTCATTTTGAATAATAGTTTGTTAAATTGTTAAATACCCTGCTTCCATTACATAGGCCTATTTGTCATATAGTGACACAAGTGTTTGATCACCACATTTGAGTTATCGTTGCAAAAAATGTGTTTATGTATATGTATTCCATTTATGTATATACTGTATTCTATATACAGTACCAGTCAAAAGTTTTGACTATACTGTACTGTTATATAGCTTAGACATAATATCAGCCGATATATCGATATCGGTCTTTTTTTTTACCCCCTAATATCGGTATCGGCCCCAAAAATGTCGGTCGGCCTCTAGTAGCAATATGATATTTCAGTGTAGTTTTATTGTACGTAAACATATAAATCTGTTGTTAAGTTATTTAAATATTAACTTAAAATCTCCTGGGGTATTTCAAGTAAATATTTCACAAGGAAAAGCCCTGATGTAGTCCATATGACTTATGCTCTAAGTCGTATGATAGCTCTGTGTGGGGAATGAATCGGTTTAAGTTCACAGAACAATGGTGAATGATTTGTTCACAAATCGAACAGATCTGATTCTTTTCAATGATCTGGAAGCAGCTGTTAACAGCCGATTAGTGTGAAATATTATCAATTCAAATTTCAGTATGTTCCTTATTCAAAGCTATCATGTGACTTCAGAAACATTTTAGCTTTTGAGATACATGGGCTACTTTAATGCTGCATATTCTGGGCTCATGCAACCTTTTGAAGCTTGAACGTCTCCCCCATTTATTGTAAGAACTAGCAATCTTTAAAATGCATTACTGTATGTTTCACATAAGATCCATGAAGTCATAAGGGTTTGGAGCGACATTGTGAAATACATGACAGATGTCTGGTTTTTGGGTGAACTATTGCTTCACAGTTGGACACAAAAGAGAACATTACTCAAATTTCAACCATTCTTTGTAGACAAACAAGATTTTTCTGGTTACAGGGAAAAATGACACTTTGCTGCATATCAGAAATCCTCCGACTACAACGGCCTTGACCTAGACACAGCTTTTTATTAGTGATGTTTCGTCATGCTGATCAGAACAAACTCCCAACTAAAGTTTAAACATTGGTCCCACTAAAAGTGATGTTGAGTGTAAGGAAGTAGGAGGGCAGGGTTTCAACGATCGCAAGTGGTCACAGGAAACACATTTTCTAGAGGACGACTGCTTTCGTTTTTTTGCTTTTTAATCTAAACTTACGTGAGTGGCTTTGAATGCCTTGAATTTTGTGATGCATTCTATTAGACTGAATCATGCCGTGAAAGAACGCACTCTAAATGCGCACGCGCACTAATCTAACCTAATAGACTTCCAGTCATGTATGCGTGCACTCTCTGTATGTGTGTTTTGTTTGGATTTTGCAATATAGTCGATAATGTCAAACCGCACATCGTAAAACAACAATTACAAAATGTGTAGATTTGGTGGCGAATGCTGTTACCTGCAAACTCTGTCCCACAGGCTTTACAGTGAATGCAGTGCATAGAGCACAGTGCATTTTTATAGCGGAGCCAGTCAAAGTCTTTCAACCACTCTCTGAAAACTGTACACCTACTATTCGGCTGGTGGATCAACATTCACCACATGATCGCTATCACCAGCACCATTATTTGTAACTTTAGGTGGTTCACAAAAGAAATCTGTCAGTGTTCTTTTCATTTTCTCTCTTCTTCAGCTTTCTTTTTCTCGCGGTAGTTAGCGGAAAGCAGTGACTGGGTGATTGACAGCTAATATTAACCAATCTAAAATCTGCATTAAAGTTAAGAATGTAAAGACAACGTTTAATTGGTTATGTAGCCTAACGTTTCATAGAACGGCAGACAGGTCACCGTATCAACACTCAGAAGGCACATACTCTGAATGTTTTTTTAGAGAAATGCAAACAGGTCGCACGACAACAATTATATGCACTCGCACAAATGCTCCCAAATATATTTTGAGGTCGCACAGATTAAATTTCGGGAGCATATGCTTGATAGGTAGAAGCATCCGGCCCCCCAGTGTTTCCACATCGTCAAATCTGGCCCCCTTTAGGAAAAGTTTGGACACCCCTGGCCTAGCGCCTGAAGTAAATAGCATGTTACGGTGCAAACACCTTGTGAAGTTCTGCTAGGACTGTTCCATCTCAGCACCCTCACAAACTCTGTCCTGCTGAGTTACGAAGTTTGCTGTCCCGTGTGCATCTCAATTAGGTTTTCTTTAAACTTTTTGAATCAGACGTTACACGCGTTCTTTCACAGCAGTAGCGACGTTTGATCTGTGGAGCGTGGACATAGAATCCCTCCACAGATTGCTTTGTGACATCTCATCCAGCCAGATGAAACTAGCCTTCTAAACACAGCTGAAGTGTACCGGTGATAGATCTGCTAATTCTGCTAGCCTACATCTAGTGTGCTGTCCACCGTCCTCCAGTGAACTGGAATCTCCACCGGGAAAAAGAGAGACGTTGAAATCCTGTGAAATTGAAATGCTGTAAATATTTGTACAATGTGCCGTTGAAACGAAAGCAATTGCGTTTGTCTTTCAGGAGCTGCGGGACGATATGCCTTCTATTTTAGCTGATGTTTTCTGTATATTAGGTAAGTCCCGCCGTATGTTTATACATGCTAATGCTGGTGAAAGGAGTGTGCCAGACAGTGCCATCTCATTTGTCCTGGTGAAGAAAGAGCCAGGATGCTTTTGTATGAAAAGACAGTTTTGTTACTTGCATGAGTGAACATGTTTATTAAACTGCAGTCGTGTGTCCACATAGATCACTGTTCTGACAGATGTTTGCATAATTCAGCTGCTGAACTTATTCTAATGAAGCTCCCATCAAATTCCCTGCTGTTCGTTTGTCAGGCTCAGTGTGATTGATTCAAATGTTAATTTAATGTTACATGGAGATGCTACAGCTCTTGAAACCTACACAAAACATATCATTTTACCCAGCTGGTTGGAGCCTGTTTGGTGAGTAGAGCAGCGTGGGATTGTCTTCATGACCACTGTGTGGCAGTAATGCGCTTTGAGATGCGTCGCCCATCTCTAGAGGACTACGGCACACACTGCGGTTGACGATATGCTTTCTTTTGCATGCATACGTAAGTGGGTGGCCGATCCCCTGACTCTGAAGATTAGCTGCATTAGAGGATTGAGTGGCCCAAATTCTGTCCTCTAGTGAAAAATTCTCCTCCCCTGACCGAACCTCCAGCACTGTGCTGGAATGAAACCAAACGCATTCACAGCGGCTGTGGGTATTTGAGCTAGGCCTCAATGTTTCACATGTTTGTTGTGGCAGAACACGACGCATTTGTAATGGCAGTCGGGGTGACTCATCAAGACCTGCAGTGCGTCTGCTCTCTTCTTTTCATTTAAACCACTGTACGGCTGATTAGTATGCAAATACGGGCTTGTTATGCAGTGTTATTAGTGTCTTATGTAAGTGTAGCTGAATGCCATTGAGGTTGGATGTGGGCAGTGCTACGCTGATGGATGCAGAGATATTATTCTACTGGTCTTATACAGCAGTGTTGGTGAAGAGTGTCTAATTAAAGGCATTGTTGTCTGTCGTTTTCAGATCTGTGTTCCTGATGGTATGCTGAAGGAGAGATTAGATCCTGAAACGCTGGAGTCTCTGGGACTGATCAAACAGGCTCAGCAGTTCAACCAGAAGATTGTCAAAATCAAGACCAAACTATTGTAAGTCACATTTCCACCTAAAATAGGATTGATTGATTGTATCTTTCGTGTAAATGCATGTCTTAAAAACTAAATTGTTGCCTAACTAGACAGCATTCATTCTTAAACTAGTGTGTGGCTTGCCTGTACAATCAGTAAGGGCATCACAGTCTGAAAACTCGATGTGCTTCCTATCAAGGTTGTATTTTTAGGAATCATAGTTTAAAAACCTTGTGCAACCTACCTAGACAATATTGCAACCTCAGTCCTCTCAATCTATTGAGGTGTCTGCTTAGACAATATTACTTCATGTCTAGATGGGAAGCTTACTAGCTTTAGAAAGAAGGCCATGTAGACTATAGAGTGCCACGTAATCAATCCATGGTACCTGCTTTTGTTGAAGCCATTTGCCAGCATTATTTCAATAGTTTTTAAATGTTTAATAGTGGAATTCCTGGTGGAAAAACTCCATTACCCACAATTCTGCAAAGAAATCTCCAATCTGGGAATCGAATGAAGAAAATCACACCAAAGTGACACTTTAGCTTCTCCCACTCCCATGAAGCACTGAAAATTAGAGGTCTTCTCCGGTCCTAAACTCTGTACCCGACCTGAATCACTTCGACGTGCATAAATAAATATTTATTTATAAAAAAATTTTTTTGAAGAAATACCCGACCCGATGAAACGCCATTTATTTTCAAAAACCCGACTAGACCCAACTGTAAACGGCATTGACGTGTGCACAGCCTGCAGCCCCGCAGTCAGTAAAGAAAAATCCCGGTGTACTGCTGACTGATTTGGCCGCTTCTCTATTACTTTGATTTATTTAACATTTATTGTTACTTTATATTATTGCCTGCCTGATGGATACAAGCTATTTCTGAGTTCGGCTTTTAATTGTGACCAGTGGATTTGAAAAATAAATGTGATAGTTTGATGATAACTTAAATCGATAGTCTAATGATTGTTTTCTGCAACCTAATCTCCGGCGAAAGGCTTCTGCACACAAAAAAGAAAAGCCCTGCATGAACACGCAGCATAATGAAGCAAGTGGATTTTCCTGATGGATCTCGGATCTATAAGATGATTTCTGTGTGCGAGGTTACAAACGTATGCTCCTTTTCTATGTGCATTCCTCACTTCACACAAATGTGCAAGTACACATCTGGGATAGTTTTAAAGGAATTCGGCTCTTATTGGGTCCAATTGGAAAAAACACTTATTTTAAATTACCCGAGGCCGCTAGTACCGAACCCGTCCCGTGGCCGAGGCACTTGTCGAAGTTTTGGACCTCAGGTTTTCGGATCCAAGTGGACCCATGAAGACCCCTGCAGCAAATGACATAATAAAGTCAGTCTCCCTACGCTTTCAAGCTTCTTAAATATTTGTGGTGTGAATCTTTACTTGTCAGTGCCGGTGTCACATTGACTTTGCATTTAACTCTTTTTCATATCAATCACATCCCGCACCTTTTCTCATTCATGCATGTTCTTTTCGTAAAAACCGAAATGTGCTCAAATATCTGCTTTCATGACGTTTGGTACAATTGTGAAGCACCGGCTGCTGCTCTTCTTCCACCATGTCGTCTTTCTGTGAACATCAGATGCAAGTGCTTTGCTTCCAAAGGGCATGTGTAATTTATTGAGATGCACCTGTTTATATATATATATATATATATATTTTATATATATAGAAGAGTCCTTAATTTAGAATAAAACTTTGTTAATGTATGATATTTAATTACGTGTTTAAAATCCTTTCTTGATTCAAATGCAAGTTTATAATGTTGTGATTCACCTTGTACTGTGTGGTTTGGGTCATAACTTAGAACCTATAACTTAAAGACTTTTTTTTGTATTATATATATATGTGTATATATATATATATATAGACACACATTTGGGTAAAATTAATGAAGGAACCAGGTCTGCTGAAAAAATGTGCAGGAACTGTTGCAGTCTATAGCCTGTCTTGTCTTTTTAGTGACATTTACTGAAGAGTAATATTTTACTCTTAGTAACTAGTAACAGTAATATCTGTTAGTGTTATCAGGATACTGGAATTTCTAACTTCGATACAATAACTTGAAAAATATCAACATTCGATAGTGGCTTTTTTTTTTTTTTTTCAAAAATGCTATGTTAAGGTTAATTTGATCGTTGTATTTAATTTAACTTCTGAACAAAGTATTTTCTTATCGACTGAAACCCTCTGAGATTCCTCAGAGAAGATGATAATCTTGTTGCTCTTATTATTACTGAAATGTAATCATCTGTCCAAAAAAATGTTGGAAATGATGTAAATGTGAGTCATTCTGAAGCACGCAGTGAAGTGGACTGTATATTAGGGATGTGCGTGACGACTAATTTGACTGTCGTTTAAATAAAAGTTTTGTATCCGACTAGTCGACTAGTCTAAAAGCAAGAAACCCCCAAAAGATGGTAAGAAAAAAAACCTCTGTGTGTGCGTGTAGCATTTATAATAGCCTATATTTGAAATACTACATAATATGGATCACACTGTCAAATCCCTCAATGAAATCCGCTTGGCGCACACTTGCCTCGCGTTATTTAATTTTAGGCGGTCGTTAGAAAAAAAAGAAGAGCATACACTCAACGTAAGCCAACGCATAGCTTATTTATTCAAATCAGCTGGGGAAATGCAGAACAATGGAAAATCAATCAATAGCCTGACAGAATTCTTCATCTTCATATGACGTTAGCCAACACATTAAAACAAGTCAAAAACGATAGGAAGGTTTACGCACTCGGCAGGAACTGAAGTCGCAGGCACGCAGAGATAACGAAAAGCAAGCCGATAGAGTTTCAGAAAGCGCCTGGACATCCCGCACCAGCACCGAAGTGGGTCTTCGTTAGAGGAACAGGCGGCGCGGACGGGATCGCAGCACTGAAGGGTTGTAATGAATGACGTGATTGACATTTGCTGGCTTTGGCCAGCCTCTAATATGTAAAAATCAGTATTTGACAACACTAATATCTATAGATGCTGCAGTCTCCGAAAACGGCATGGTTATTTTTAATGGCTTGCATTAAATCAAATTAAATTGTCACTTCTTTTGTATGTGATCATACAAGTTTGACCTCTGTTGAACTGCTTGGTGTGGTGAGTTCAGATGACGGTGGGTTATAGTCATTGGGTATAAAACACACCTTGAGTTCATGCGCCGTGTCCACTTTTAGACACGTGTCACTGCTTTCTGCGCATTCAGCGTGTTGTTGTGAATCTATAAAATGTCCACAGCCTCATTTAGCTGTAAATGAAAGGCACAGTGCTGAACTCTCTTGATGATGATTAATTTCATGCCTTTGTGTAGGTCTTAATGAGTTTTATCAAGATTGCAGAGCACTCTGCCCTGAAAGCCCATGTTCTCTCTCTCCTCTCATAGCACAGCTCTTTACGTGCCATCCAGCAGTCCTTTCATTAACATAAGCATGTTCTAATGGATTCATTGGTTTGATGTCGTCTTCTAAAATGCCTGCCATATGTCTGAGGGTGGCATTAGTCTCATACTCCTGCCTGTGACCAGCAGACCTCAGCTCTGATGTACTTCATTATTTTTAGATGACTGCATGAAGTTATTTTCTGGTGTAACCTTCCGTCTTTCACTCCGTAGTTACAAACAGCAGAAGTTCAATTTGTTGCGCGAGGAGAATGAAGGTTACGCTAAGCTGATCACAGAGCTTGGGCAGGATCTGTCCAGGAATCTCACCAGCCACGTCGTCCTTGAGAACATCAAGTCATTAATAGGTACTTCATTAAACTTCATCTTTAAACACTGCTGCACTGTTCCAGATGTGATATGATGATTATGGTGCCTCTTAACCAGAGGGCCTCAGCAAACCTTTAAGGAGACTCCAGGATGATTTCAAATGAATTAATTTAATATATTATTAATAATAAAAATGTATAGTTATTTAAACATATGTAAATATTCAAACTTAAAGGGGCAGTACACCCAAAAATGAAAGTTCTGTCATCATTTACTCACCCTCATGTTGTTCAAACCTGTATGAAGTTCTTTCTGCCGAACACATATTTTGAAGAATGTTGGAAACCAAACAGTTGCTGGTAGCCATTGACTTCCATAGCATTTTTCTTCCGTACTGTGGAAGTCAATGGGGACCAGCAACTGTAAACTCCTAAAGCTTTGCAACAAGTTGAGGGTGAGTGAATGATGAGTGAATTTTCATTTTTAGTGGAACTATGCCTTTAACTGAAATGCTAAAAAACATAGTCAAGTTTCTTATTTCCCGTCTTTCCCCTCTCCCTCATTTTCTTTTTTCTTTTTGCCTTAAATGTGCATAAATGCTTTTGTGTTGCTCTGCATTGGAGTCTTTTATACGTTTTTTTGTGTGCAATGTTTAGCCTATATATTTGTTCTTCCATGTCTGTCGTGTCTGTTGTCCTATCAAAAATATGTGCCATACATTCCAAAGAATATATTGATGTGGTGTTAACTATTACAGCATATTTTTGAATACTTTTTTAGCAAATTCATTTTTTATATGTGACCCTGGAGCACAAAAGCAATCTTAAGTCGCTGGGGTATATTTGTAGCAATAGCCAAAAATACATTGTATGGGTCAAAATTATTGATTTTTCTTTTATGCCAAAAATCATTAGGATATTAAGTAAAGATAGTGTTCCATGAAGATATTTTGTAAATTTCCTACCGTAAATATATTAAAACTTAATTTTTGATTAGTGATATGCATCGCTAAGAACTTCATTTGGACAACTTTAAAGATGATTTTCTCAATATTGATTTTTTTTGCACCCTCAGATTTTCAAATAGTTTTATCTCGGCCAAATATTGTCCTATCCTAACAAACCATACATCAATGGAAAGCTTATTTATTCAGCTTTCAGATTATGTATAAATCTCCATTTAGAAAAATGGACCCTAATGACTGGTTTTGTGGTCCAGGGTCACATGTATATATATTTTATGTACGTACTTGTTTTTCTGTTTTTTTTTTTTTTATTATAATAAAGCAGTGTGTAGTTAGTAAGTTAATGAAGTATAGTAATTCTAAACTGATATAAATAACAGTGAGTATTGGATTGGTTGCTCATGGTTGCAGTATCTGTATCGGACATAAAAAGTTGTATCAAGCCATTCTTAATAAAAACAATGAAAAATATATACAATACACACAGTGTCAGCAGCACAGCAGTGGAGCAGCAGGGCAAATGATGAAACTCTCACACTTTCCCCGGGTCACTAGACCGTCTCTGTTGAGCCCTGATAATGACTGGCACAGTGGCCCAAAACAAAAGTTTATGATCACTTGAGTGAGCTCAAACCAACTGTCATGATTACAGCCGTCTTGTGTGCTGACTGTCATTCCGTCTTCTGTCCTCAGGATGTTTCAATCTGGACCCAAACCGTGTGCTGGACATCATCTTAGAGGTGTACGAGTGTCGCTCTGATCAGGATGAGTTCTTCATCCCTCTTATCAAGTCCTACATGTGCGAGCACCAGACCCTCTGCCACATGCTGGGCTTCAAGTTCAAGTTCCACCAGGTACAGTCCATCATACAGCTGTGTTCGTGGTTTCCTTTACATAAACCCACACCGGGTAAATATCTTTGCTTCATTACAGTTAAATGCACAGACATGTGACAGAAGGCTTTGTCTTCAAACCTGTGTGTGTGTTATGTGTGTAACGGGGACCAACAAAATGAGCAAAACGCCTCTGCACAATTCAACTAAATCTATTAAAGCTAATAAAGTGAAATGATTTTGCAGTATTGAGCATTATAACCAATCACACATGTTTCTGTTGTTTTGTTTTCCCGCTTTCATATTTTCACTAAAGTAACCAATGTGAAGTCTTGATTTTCTAATGCGCAAAAAGCAATAAACTAGGGCTGTGCGATTAATTAAATCGAAATCGCGATTTGAGACGTTGCGATTTCCTAATCGCAAAGCCTGTGATGTGGACTTGATATTACTCTGTTTCAGAGCATATGCATGACTGCCAACCTTGAGTTGCAGTCTTACTAACCAATAGAGTGAGCGCACCTCCATGCTCCTCAATCAGCACTGCTCTAGCCAACAGCGTAAACACCCACCATTAAAAAAAAAAAAAAAAAACAATGCGGGAGAGAAACAATCCCGTGTCACGGACGAGCCGTTCATGCTTGCCGCACTCATGCAGCCTGTCTCGTAATGCTCGGTTATACTCGCACCCAGTTCCACAAGTCTCCACGAGCGCATCTGGCAGTGAAGGATTAGATTAGTAGTTTCTTCCACACCAAGATGGGTGAGAAAAGGGTCCCATATCTTATAGAAATCGGAAAGGTTTGTCCTTTAATGTGGTAGAAAAGGCTTTGTAGGGAATAAGACTTTTAGCTGTGTATCCACTGAGTAATTGACGGGGTTTGATCTGTTATCCAACATACAAGTATGCATTTGCGAGCACAGTATAATAGAATTTGGAGAAGGTGAATCCCTTGGAATTTGAAGGGAAATTCCTGACTTATGCCTAGTAAACATGCTTTTGGTCCTAGTTGTAATGGACAGCAGAATATATTCTCGAGTTCCTTTAGGACACCCATCCAGAATTGTTGGATCTTCATACAATTCCAAAAACAACGAATAAGGGTTCCCTCCCATCCTTTGCATTTATTACTGAGATTAGATAAACCCTAAATTATCTTATGCTTTTGGGCTGGAGTAAACGGATAGTTAATTTCTGATCCTGGTCATCATGTATAAATATTGAATCCAAAATTGCTCAAGTTAGGCATGTTGCTTGGTTTTCAGAACTATTTCCAGTCAAACGTTTGTCATTGCAGTGCAGAGTATATCATTTGGCATGGCAACTTTTCTGATAACTCTGCCTTTTAGTTCATGTTATTGTGCAGTAATATTCACTGACTCATACGAGATGACTGCTGTGTCAAGTGTAATTTTCTGTCGTCAATTTTTTATTTTTTTTTTCCTTTTTCAAATGAACGAAAGTCGTAGGAATCCACTGTGATCCAGATACTTAATAGGAATGGGAAACGTTGTGAACATTATATTGTGCAGCTGGGTTTGTTCGCCTTTCTCTGTGTCTGTATTCATGTTCATCTGGTGTTTTTTGTTTTGTGTGTGTGTTTTCACAGGAGCCTAACGGAGAAACGCCATCATCTCTGTACCACATCGCTGCAGCTCTTCTTCAACACAATCTCATCGCTCTTGAAGACCTCTACGTTCATGTAAGTGGAAGAGTCATGGCGGTTGAAATAGTGTCACAACCCTCTACATTGCGAGTAAATCACTTACATATGCGACTAAATCTTTACTCTGTGCGACTAAATTATGTCTACCGTTAGCCATTGGCTAATAAATTCTTAGATTTTACTCGCTGGTGTGTGAGTTAGAGGCTATTATAAGTTTAGTACAGTTATATTTTCATTCGTTGAACACCTGAGCGCTTCAGAGTTTCGCTCTCCATCAAACGATCTGTACTATTTCAGTTCATCTGAATGGATGTGCAGCGCACCTGTATTTGACGCACCGTAAACTCTAGTGTGAAGGTGCACGACTCGCCGTCGCTTTGCTGATAGCGCTGTTTCTCACACATGCAAAGAGGGAGAGAGTCTCACACACCACACTGAATCGACGCGCTACATGTAAACAGTATTGTGTTATATTTTTCTGTCAAAATAACGGAGTTCATTTGGAATTCTTCAGCTTTTAAGAACAAGCAGAAGATATGCCGATTTCTCTGGTAGTGGAGCTAATGCACAAACGGTAATCTCATTGGCTGGCGCTCATCTATTACCAAAACAGCAAATCAGTTCGAGGGAATGCTGACAACATGATTAATATTCATGAACCCAGCAGCTCATCAGATCTTAGTGTGTTGTGTATTATTAGTATAGTAGTAGAACTAGTAGTAGTATTATCTTTTAATAATAATTCATTACTATTATCTTTTTTTTTTCTGGGAGAAAGAACTTGTTCATACTGTACAATATAGCAGCATCTTCCTTTTCTGGTGATTCAGTTGTATCAGATAATGAACAGATCAGAACAAGCAGTAAATACCATCCTTTTAAGTTGTTAAAATGTAATTCTGCTTATTAGAATTACAGGTGCTCTTTGACTTCATTTACACAGGGTATTAAATGTGTTATTGTGGACGAGGTTGAATATTTGCAGCTGAAGTGGGACCTACATGCATCTGGAGCATCATGCTTATAATCGAGCAGCTCAGAGCATAATGCCAGCTTAATGTCATGCTTGGGTTAATGCCGTTTAGTGCCGAAAATGCAGTCACAAAATCTGCAACAGAAATGCACAATATGCGTTTTAATACTAGGGTTAAATGTTGCATGCTTGGGAGAATCCTCAGTAAGCTACACATGACAAGTGTAATAAGTCCTGGACAAAATGAGCTTGTTCTTGGTGCTCTCAGGCGCTGATTTATATCGAACAGTGACTGGTTTTTGGTCAAAATGACACATTGATGCCAGTGGAAATGGTAAAACTTAATGTAGTGTTTATTTCGATAATGAAAACAAACAAAAAATATCATAAAGACAAGACGACACTGACGTTGTTAAACACTAGTTGTGGATGTATCAACATGCAATATGGTTGACGTAAAAATCTAAATCTAAAATTTCTTTCTATTTTCTTCAACAAAAAGACGAGTAAAAATATAGTTTGCAGTTGCCAGATGTCAAGAGTTTAAATCCCCCATCAGAGCTTTTCTCTTGAAAGGAGACTTTTATTTATTTATTTTTATTTGATTCATTTTTTTTTGCCTTGTTTTACTTTATTTTTGCAACCTGCGCTGAAGTTTGGAGCTCTTCATTGAGATATTTTGCTCATACAGCCAGTGTGTGTTTGCACGGTTTGCTGCATAAATCTGCCAAACATTGGTCTCGATTATATTGTTTGCAATTGAGGTCGCTGAATAAATGCACTTAGCAACTTCTGTGCATCAATAAAAAAAGTTTTATTATTGTTGTTGTTTTAAAAGAAAGACATGGATATAATTAGGAATGATTGGGATTAATATTAGGAATGGGAATAGGAAGACAGGACAGATTGAGTAAATCGTGTGTCTTCACGCAGCTCCTCCCGCTGGATTCCAGCATCGTGGAAGAGCACAAGAGAGCGATCCTGGAGGCCAAGCAGATCGCCCGCAAACTCACCATGGTGCTCGTCCCCTCTGAAAAGACGGAGGACAAGGAGAAAGAAAAGGAGAAGGAAGAGGAGAAGAATGAGAAGGTAACTTATTTTCAGTAAAGCAGCTTGTCATTGTGCACCACAAGTGGCACCAGACAGAAATGTGAAGAATGACTGTTCAGTGACGCTGTTCAAGGAATAGTTCACCCACAAATAATCATGCCATTCCAAACCCATGCTGAAGAAGCTTGAACAAAAATGCAAGTATCACTTTTTGGCTTTGCTTGCCTGACAGGCTTAGCTTATTTTATTTCATTTCTAATTTTCATTTAGGTTTTTCGTCCGTTTTATTTCAGCTTTCTTTGAATAAATTTTCTTAGTTGAATTAGTTTCTTAGTTTACGATAACACTGGCAGAAGAGCACAGAAGAGTTTTATGATGTAATGGTCTAAATGCATGTAAATGTCAGAGTTACATAAATGGCTTTTGCTGGGCTGATCAGATGCTTGATTATACAGCAGCGCATGTACTGACACTCAGCATGCACTCAGGGACTCTGTGTCTGACAGCCTCGGATTCACTAAGTTCACTTCCAGATGCAGAGATAAGCTGCAGTTTAGTCGTGCGGTTTACTAAGTTAATGGTTTAAATTAAATTATCCCTGCATAGTGACAGAATATGCATGCAGAAAGCACACAGGGCTTTAAAATTATGAGCAATAACAGCAGTAGACATTAATTATCTCTACTTCTGCTAATTAAAACCAATCTCTCTTCGGTTCATTATTTAGAAGTATATCTACTTTATGCATATAAATGCATCCTTATTGAACATAAGGCTTCAAAACTCTTCATCTTTCATTGTACAGTCGGATGTCATCCAACCTCACATTCATATTCTAGTTGTCACACTGAAGGATTTTTGAATCTGTTTGGTCTAGGATATCAGAAGTACCACACTTCAGGACCAAGTTGATTAAAAATACACACAAATGATAGCAGTCGGTTAAGCAATGACTGCTTTTTGGTTTTGTGCATCTGTACATGAAATCTTTCAGTGTAGATGTCTTGTCAATTGTCAATTATTTCATTAATAAAACCTCAAACAGCAATACTGCAAAGGCCGTTTCACACTGAGCGCGGCGAAAAAGCGAGGCGAATCACAGAGGAGCACGGAACGATTGTTCGCCTTTTAATTCTCACCTGCACGCTAGGTGGCGCCAACCAACAATGCATTTTTCCTCATGTATGTATCTCGTATATGGCTTTAACATCGTCCGCTGCGTATATATTAATTCCCTTTGAAATTAGAGGATCGTCGTCTTGTCTCTTATTTAATGTAACTATTTGCCATTTCAAGCATGTTAAATAGTGAAATCAGAAGAATTTGCATGTATAATGCCACTTTTGCAGAGCTTAAAAGAAAGTAGACAAGTGGAACACAAGACTTTCAAAGCAGGTGTACATTAAATCCACAGAGTTCGTTGTGCGTGTAGTTTCATGTGGTCTCATGCTTTGGCAGAGTGTATTTACTGTGCATCGAGGTTGAATGAAAGCACTGGGCATGATGTGGAATATCAGATGAATAATACAACTCAAATTAATCAAAATAGTTTTTAGTTGCAGCCTAGTTTACATTGTTTTCCACTTTTGACTGATTATGTGAAAATCCTTGTTTTAGAGCCGTTTTTGGGGCTTTGCATTAGTGTGACTTGTAAGCTGTATGAACCAACACAGATGGTGTGCGTGTGTCATCTGTCCCTGAAGATAAGAATCCCCTCAGACTCCTCAGCAGAAGAGATAATGAACAGAGGAGCATGTAATGATGCCGTATGTGGAGGTGTGTCCTCTGCTCCTCTAATCTGTCTCTCCTCTCACGTCAGCCTCCTGATAACCAGAAGCTGGGGCTGCTGGAGGCGCTGCTGAGGATCGGTGACTGGCAGCACGCTCGGAGCATCATGGATCAGATGCCAGCTTTCTATGCCACCTCCCACAAGGCCATCGCCATCGCACTGTGCCAGCTGCTGCACCTGATCATGGAACCGCTTTACCGCAGGTATGGCATTCAGACGTGCGTTCTGTCCAGCGTTTGCTGTTGGCTTATTGTACATTCACAGTCAACCACTTTAATTAGTCAGTGAATCGTTCAGAGCAATGCACACCCGACTCCCTCACTGAATCACAGATTATTTTTTTTATCTATAAAAAAAAGTATATGTACTTGAGGATTGTGAGATATGAATCCGACAATATTTTCATGTTAATTACTTGACAAGTAATCAATTTTTAATATTCACAGCTGTTTTGTTGCAATTAATAATGGTATTATTAAAAGTAACAAATATAATTGGTTAATGTTTAGCTAAAACACCCTAAATTGTTGCTTTTGTTTTTTGAAAGTGTGATTTACAGTGTGGGTGCTTGAAAGCTCCATATCAGAATTAATGTCTTCATATTTCCAACCCTCTATCTCTAGTGTCAGTTGCTTGGAAACAGTAGGAGAAAGATTTGAGATTTTCTAACTTTTTGGTTCTTGTTCCCCAATAGTGTAAAATCATTAAATTAGTTTTTACAGGTTCAAATGTTCTGTTGAAGACATCAGTGAGGGACATACACGTATTCTCTCTCTCTCTCTCTCTCTCTCGCGCTCTCGCGCTCTCACCCACCCACCTAAGGCTATCAGGAGGACACAGCATGCCTGAGACATGCTTTGAGCTGTACTCTAGATCCAGCGCTGGGACAGAAAGTGAAATTCAGACAGCAGAGCTGCGTGTCGAACTCTCTGAACATCCTGTATTTTTAGGGCTGCAGTCCCCAAAGGTGCCAAAGGCAGATTGATGATGCCTCTGTGGAACAAACAGGCACCGCGGCCGGCCGAAAGCTTTGATGATCTCTCCAGGGACGTCTTCACCATGCTGTGCTACTTGGGCCCTCACCTGTCCCACGACCCCATCCTGTTTGCCAAGATCGTGCGACTGGGCAAGAGTTTCATGAAAGAGGTGAAGACTGACACACATTTATTTATATTTATATTTATATTTATATTTATATTTATATATATATATATATATATATATAGAGAGAGAGAGAGAGATAGTGATGATATCATTATCACGTGTATACACCATATAGCTAAAGCACAAATAATTTATACAATCATTACAACAACTTAGCAATCCTGATATCTCAGCTTTGCATTGGCTATATGGTGGTTGTATGCGTTGTTAGAATGTACTTAAATGATTCATCACTTCTAATAACTCCAGTAGATTCTGCTTTGATAGCCAGATTGATGGACTTTCTCCAGTTCTATTACAGTATTGTCGTTGTGTGTTTTTTGGTGGGCAGAGAATGTAATGGTGTGTCCCAGAGGTTGATGAGGTCTATATCAGGGCTGCATTGATCTTCGGATTGTTTTAATGTAACCTGTGTGAGTTCTGTAGTCTCACTCTATGACCGGTTAGCCTCTATTGATCAGTGTGTGTGTGTCTCTCCCTCTCTCTCAGTACCAAAGTGAAAGCAGGCAAGACACAAAGGACAAAATGGTGAGTCGCGGTGAAGCCTGTGTGGGAGTGTAGAGTTGAATGAAGAACAGCACAAGTTTCTGGCTTTTTTTTGTTTGCTAAATTCGGCACTGACTGTAAAGTGTATTTGACATTTTTCTCACCCAGTTTAAACCCTTAATGGATTCATCCAAACAAATGATCTGTTAACCATTTAACACTAACATTGAACAGCTACTAATTTTATTCAGAGTATTTGTATTTGATTACTGGATGTTCCTGTAAGGGCCCTATGAGTGATTTATTGAGTTAAAGCTATAAATCCCTTTTCTACATTTGAGATGACTGTGACAGGCCCTTGATTGTGTGTTGGTGTCCAGCAGTGCAGCTGTGTTTGTCTGGATGTGTATGAAGTGATGGATGTGTCTGTCTCTCTGGCAGGACTCTCTGCTGAGCTGTTTTCTCAGTATTGCTGATCAGGTGCTGTTGCCGTCTCTCTCTCTCATGGAGTGCAACGCCTGCATGTCTGAAGAGATCTGGGGCTTCTTTAAACTCTTCCCCTACCAGTACAGGTACAGTCAGCTCATAACACAGCACTGATCTCTTAAAGGTGGGGTAAGCGATTTCTGGTAGCCAATGTTGACATTTTAAATCACCAAAACAAACACGCCCCTACCCCAAAAGGGTTTCGCCCCTATTTTGATAGCTCCGCACCACACATACGTACGCAACCAGGCAACGATTAGTTCTGTGAAACAAAGCAAAACCAATGTTACCTTGTGTCTACACCGGACACGAGTGGTGCGACAAAATACTATAGAACTCATTACAATCAGTAATGCTGTCTACACCATAGATATACAGTATATACATATCTGTGGTCTACACTGGATGTGGCACGACACGACAAATCCCCGACAGAAAACTGCTGCTGCGTTCTATTCATGACGTACTGACACAAGTTTCAAATGATTTTCAACGGTCGCTTTGATCGCGTCCAGTGTACTAGACAGACTTTAGCTGTTGTGGCGCAGACACAGTGTTACTCACCTATCGAGAAGAAACAAAGCAACCTCGGCGTCCGATCGCAGGCCTTCCGCTCCTTGAGTTCTCTCCAGCGCTGGAAAGCTGATCCGATATTTACACGGGTCCTACTTCTTGCCTTATTGCCTTAAGCCTTCTTTTGTTCTGCAGACATTTTCCTCTTTTGTTTTTTTTATCCGCCATCTCTATTTTTCTGTCGCTCGGCTCGCTAATGTCCGTCCTGTGCACTGAACTCTTTCTCCTCCACATCATGAGAAGACACACCCCTTACTGCTGATTGGCTACAAGTTTGTTTTGCGACTCAGTTTTCTAAAGCGTTTTTGAAAAATCGCTTCCCCCCCACCTTTAACCAACAGGTCTTTCTGCACTGCTCTGTATATGAGCAAAAATAAATTCAATAGATCTTATGTAGCTCCGCCCCTTTTTAGCACTGCATCCATTGTGTCCCGTCTTCTGGTTTGTATTTCCACAGCATGAATGTACGGTCTTATGGATTTATGAATGAGCACCTTGTTTTAAAATGTTCCCAGTCTACTGACATTTCTGACAGCCGCTCTAAACATTACAATACTCATGATGACTTTTGTTAACTCTACACTAAGTAAATCAGTGCACAGTGTTCCTGTGGCTCAGTGGTAGAGCATTGCGTTAGCTGCGCAAAAGGTCGTGGGTTCGATTCCCAGGGAACACACATACTGGTAAAAAAATGTATAGCCTGAATGCACTGTAAGTCGCTTTGGATAAAAGCATCTGCTAAATGCATAAATTAAGTATTAAATCCACTTCATTAGCTTATTGCTCTTCAACTGGGTTAAATGCAGAGCACAGTTTCCAAATATGGGACACGATACTTGGCTATACGTAGAAATATACAGAGCTACCGCAAAAACAGAAGTTCAAACACAAAATTCTAAAGATGGCTGTGCGCTCGTTTCTCTGGCGTGTTAGGTTTATAGAATAAATTAAATTGCAATAAGCTAATGACCTAATTGGTAAGGTTTTGGGTACACGCCACATACGTAGCAAGGCTTGTTTCCAGTCGCATGTTCTATTAAAGGGGATAGTTCACCCAAAATGATCATTTACTCACCCTCAAGATGTTCCAAACCTGTAGGAATTTCTTCTGCTGAAGATATTTTGAAAACTGGCTAACAGGTTCTGGTCCCCATTGAGCTTCTATAGTATTTAGAATTTTCTTCATATTGTGGAAGTCATTTAGGGGCAACAACT